CAACAGTTCGAAAGAACCTGATTTAGCTTTCAAACTCTTGCCATGGGCTTTCAATTCACAGGCATATTAATTAGATACTGTATGTGTTTTGTGTATAGGAGAGAGGGCAAATTGAGACACTCGACACACCTAGACGTCCAGGCCAGGAGACTATGATGTGAATAAATGCAGAGCAAGCCACCGCAGTTCAAGGCGCCTTGTCTGCACCCTGCACCTTACAAGCACTGGTTGAACACAGGACTTGAACACTCAGAGAAAAGAGAAAAAAGACAATTACACTTTCCACAGTTCCATTCAAGCTTTTTTATCTTCTGGGGGAAAGGTGTTTTTTTGACACAATCCAATCCAACAATACAGCAAGGAAGACAAACATTACTAACAGAGAAGATGGCACAATAGTTTTTTTTTTACTTCTTTCAAGCTCTGGGGTAGCCCTTTGTGTTTTCTGTCACTTCAGTTTATGTCGTTTAGAATGCTTCTGTGAATTGCCTTCTGGATCACTTGTAACTCTACATGGATAACTCTAGTTGTTACCCTAATACCAATCTCCTAACTGTAAAACATTTATACAGTACATATACCCAGGACTTTGTTTTCCACATACAGTAGGTGTATACTCATGTATACTCTGCTGACAAGAAGACTACTGCATAAACAAGTCTCGTTGTCAAAGATGTAAGTTTGAAGAATATGCAGATCATGGCCAGGTCAGTCGTGTGCTGTAAGTGACCAGTAGTGTTGCCTGACTTGGTGTTTATTAATTAGGACATTGAAGCTGTTAATAACAGAAGCTTAGAATAGAACCGGTATGTGTATTCTCGATGTGGCGGTTAGGAAACCTCATTAGTGCACCCTGTATATGGATTATTTATATGTATAAATCATTTGTTTAGCAGAGTTTCTGACCCAAGGTGATACAGATTAAAAATGAATAACCCCTACAAATGCTGGCAAAATATACGAAGTGGAATAAATAAAAACAAACTGATTTGGACAATAATTCAACTTGCAATAATGCAATAACTTTTAAAAAACCATCCAAGTGCTCTTCTATGCCCACCCCCAAGGGAAAAAGACATATTTCCTATTATTTCTATTATTCCAGTGCCATTTCCTATTATTCTATTATTTCTGTTATTCCAGTGCTATATCCTTGAAGGCCCAAATATCTGTCATCCATACAACTACAACCACACAAGCTAACCAATGGGAACACTCTGCAAGAAAGAGGATAGGATTTTTATTGAATTCCCTCAACTATAACATACTATCACACGTGTAGTACATCTGGCCACGTGAGCCCTTTCTGCTACACTCAAGGACATTTTTTGTGTGTGATCATATTGACCTTTAGTGTTCTTGGTTAAATAGTAGAAAGATCTGTATAAATCTTGTAAGGATATTGTTCTTGATGTTTTAAGTACCCCTAAAGAAGTACATGCAGCACATAAATGTAGAGTGCTTAAAACGTCTGTAAGATTTGATCAATTCATTTAGCTTCTAATCAAATTCTTTAAACAAATGCCCTTGGAAAACTGGTTTACACAAATTTGGTTGCATAAATTCGATTATGTTATGTGACCTAAAACGCAATGCTAAGATTTGGTTGTTCTTTTGATTCATTTTATGTTGGTTTTTTTATTACAATATATGTTATATTACAATGTCAACTTATAATACAGTATATACAGTACATGACCTTAACTATTGACTTTTCTTCTTCTGTATATGAAACAAAAAAATATTGGCACCAGTGTCCGGTAGAGGACGCACGCTGTGTTTAGCGCAGTCGGGTGTTATCTGTGGTGGTGCTGAAACAGGAAATTCAAATCCGTTGTGGTGTTACTGTTTCCTTTAAAATGGAAGTCCGCTAAGAATCTTATTTTACTTCTTCCAACTCTAGAGCTACATTTTAAAATACCTGAATTAAATAAATAAAAAATACGTTTTAATCCGTGGTTTTCGAGTTTTGCCTCCCTACGGGCTGTTATTTGCCGATTCACTGGTTAAAAACAACAGCAAATTAGAGGGTAACCGCTTTAACATAATCCTAATGTACACGAAGATTTGTATAGATTGACAATAACAGGATTTGCAAAACCCAATAGCAGCTTATTCTCTTGAGAAGAAGATGGACTTAAACATCTCCGTTTCGTTGCTGAGAGACCAGCTGGGCTCCGTTATCGATCAGGCTGTCAGGACGGCAGTGGATACGGTTCTGGGCGAAATGGCGAATTTTGTGGGCTGCAAGCTAGAGGATGTGAAAAAAGAAATGACTGTCAAAGAAAAAGAAAACGAAAGCATGAAGGAAATGCTGGAAATCTCCAGGTGTCAGATGAAGACGCTTCGTAAATACATGAGTGCCGTCAGGAGTGGGAACGAGGAGCGCCGCGACAGGAGGGTTTGGATAGAGCAGGAATCAAATTTAAATTACTTTAATGCGAATGAAGTAGTCCCACTGGCAAAAAATGCCAGAACAGGCGAGTTTGTGACGGTCTTCTGCACGCAAGCGAAGGGTCCTTCGACTGAGAACCACCCCTCCGTTCCTCACGGTTTAGCTGAAACCCAGCCCGGTTCGGACAGTATTTGTTTGTCAGATGTAACCCGGTGCATTGAACTTCTCAGAAATTCGGAAAACGCCCAGGATTTAGCCCATGAAGCCGTCGTTGTTAAAACAGAAACGGATCTCCCATTCATTGCTTTAGATTGTGAAGCGAGCGCATCACTGTCAACAGAATGGGCACCTGCCAAAGGTTTGTCAAAATATTACATTGGCTTTCCAGCTAGAAGGATACAAAGCAGTATACTCGGCGGTAGTATGCATGACGGTTTTTTTTTATTACAACAAATTTACAGTAGTCTCCACCACACTGTGACGTTCTTAGGAGTAAATTGCAACTCCTCACTTTTCAGAAAGCAACGTACTATTGAAAGATCAGTATAATCTAGTTTGGAATAATCCAGTTTTATGTCTTGCACTTTGTTGTAGAAATTGTATGAACGCAGCACAAAAGCTGTATGTTAAATGAACTTCTCAAACAGTATCTATGAATGCAGTTTGTACCCAGATTTAAGTATTTGAAATATTTTATCCTTGGTGTTGGAAATTGGTAAAACTGCAATAAACATTATGATGGTTACTTAGGTTTTTTGGGGGGAAATATTTCTGAGTCATGAAATTATATTAATGTATTTTTTTTACTGCTATCATTAGTATGTGTACTGTGTCAAACTACACTTTACTATACTAAGTGTATCATGTTAACCCTGGAATTTAGCCCAGGGACAATCCGAATCCAATTCACATAAATAAACGCATCCAGATTCAAATCCAGATCAGGGATTACCAATCAAAATATTCTAGCAATAAGAAATAAATTAAACCCATACATAACTGTTTGGCGTGTTTTAGTCCTGCCTTGACGTTTTTCCCCTAACCTCGGATCAACCATTTAATCTTTTGCTGCTGTCCTTCTTTACAGTGGAGAGCCGGGTTTCCCTAGATTTTGAGGAAGGAGCCCAAAGATCCCCAGGGAATCCGACTGAAGAACAGCTGGCACGCTGGGGTGGAGCTGTCCAAGTGAAAGAAGAGGTTGCCGAAATAAGAACTGCTCTCGTTAAAGAGGAACCTCTTGAAGGCCAGAAATTACCAGGCAGCTTCACTGTGGTGTGTGACCAGAATTGTGTGCCGGGATCTGTCAAGGATGAATGTTGCGTTCCTGGGACGGTGTATGGTGGAAAACTTAAAGAACCGACTGCTTCCGTTAGCTGCAGTGCATGTAAGTACACCTCACTCCACAGCTGTCCTAAGTGAATTCTGCAGCAGACAAGAATAACATCTAACAGCAGTGTGCAGCATGGTAAATGTATACTGCTGGGATATACTGTGTGTTATGAATTAAGGTATTTTGTTATGTATTTGCTTTCAGATGTACTAATTAGAGTTAGTTCAGGTAGGGAGCTGCGTCAGCATGCGTAGGCTGCAAAGGAACAAGTAATAGGTTTATTCCAGGCTGAAAAAAAGAAGAAAGAGAACACAACGTTTCGGCCGTGGAGCCTTCTTCAGGTGTGAGAGAGACAGGGCAGTAGGCAAAAGAAATGTAGCGGGAGAACAAAGGTTGGGAGGGAGGAGGAGTGAGAAGCGGGAGCAGGGGACAGAAAGAGAGGCCAATCGTGAAGTGTGAAGTCAGAATGGGTGTAGAGAGGTGTGAAATGAAACTTCTTCTCCTTCTGTTTTTAAAGCTGTTGAAGAAGAGAGCCCACCAGCGGCTTCTCACCTCAAAATCACCTTTGATAGCAAGTTGACGGGAGAGACCAGCACTCAAAAGACTCGCCAGGAAAAAGATGAGCAGAATGCCAGCTCTGGATCTGTTCCTGAATCCCAAAGAGACACAAAAGGCCCCCCACAGTGTACGGAATGTGGTAAGGTTTTCAGGCATGCGGGATCCTTAAAAACGCACCTGCGGATCCACACAGGTGAGAAGCCATATTCTTGTCCGGAATGCGGTCGGAGTTTCAAACAGTCTGGAGACCTGAAGGTCCACCAGCGGATTCACAGCGGCGAGAAGCCGTATCACTGCACAGTGTGTGACAAGAGCTTCAACCGAAGAGGCTATCTGAAAACTCACCAGAGGACTCACACGGGCGAGAGCCCCTACAGCTGTGACAAATGTGACAAGAGCTTTGGGCGGATCGACATCCTGAAAGCCCACCAGCGCACTCACACCGGAGAGACCCCTTTTAGCTGCGCCGACTGTGGCAAAAGATTCAAGCAGTCCGGGGACCTCAAAATTCACCGGCGTATCCACACTGGGGAAAGACCGTATCACTGCCCTGAGTGCGGGAAGAGTTTCAGCCAGTTAACACACCTGAAAACCCACAGGAGGATTCACAGTGGGGAGAAGCCCTACCCCTGTCCCCAGTGCCGCAGGGGCTTCAGGGAACAAGGAGCAATGAGGAGGCACCAGCGCATTCACAAACACTTTTGACTTTGGACTCATTTGTGTTTGTGTGCGAATGTGCAACATTTCCCCCCCCAGCAAAATCACAAATCACCAGCATGTTTTTGTTGGCCACATGATTTTCCTGAGTGGAAAACCTAAAGTAACAGATTCCTGAAGTAAAAAGCGTTAAATCTATTCTAAATCTAATGAGATTTATTTAAATGACATTTGCATTTAAAGCATTTAGAATGAATTAAAAATGGTAGCATAAAAAAGTATGTGATTTGGGACAGATGCTTGTTTATTCTCACGTGTTTTATCCACATAATACAGGGTACTTCAAAACTTTATTGACTTTATCCCCCCTGTGCATTTGCTGTAAGGAAAATGGTCCGTTTTTTTGCACCTCCGTGCAGGACAATCCTTGAGCATTTGTACTTTTTTCCCCTGTAGAACTGCCTGACACTTCATCTTGTACAGTCAGTGCTGCAAAAAAGTGAAAGATCTGAGAAATGTTAGTGAATGAGTTGCGATGCTGGAAATTGTGTCGTTGTAAAGAACTCTCTCTTATCCTAGCGTTAATCCCGCATCAGCAGGGTCCGCTTGTCGGCACGCCTGTCTCCATTTGGTGGTTTGAACCAAATCTTTGCGCTGACGTTGCAATTCAATTGCATGCATTATACAGTACCATTCATGCTTATCTGACATATTGTCTTTATCTGACAAAATGCCTTTTTAGACAGTTACACGGCTCGTGCATCCATCACTGATAGGTGACTTCTGTAAACGTTGCCATTAAATGCGACGAGAATACTCCAACCGGCGCGTCGCTCCGCCTGCCGTCAGAGTGGGAGGGGGGGGAGGAGAACAAAGTAATGTAGCCAATTCATAGAGGGGGGGGTTATTAGCGGGCAGGGGAAATTTGGCCAGGAAGCCGGGTTACACCCCTACTCTTTTCGAGAAACACCCTGGGATTTTTAATGACCACAGAGAGTCAGGACCTCGGTTTTACGTCTCATCCGAAAGACTGTGCTTGTTTACAGTATAGTGTCCCCGTCACTATATTGGGGCATTAGGACCCACATGGACCGCAGGGTGAGCGCCCCCTGCTGGCCCCACTAACACCTCTTTCAGCAGCAACCTTAGTTTTTCCCAGGAGGTCTCCCATCCAGGTACTGACCAGGCTCACACCTGCTGAGACTCAGTGGGCTGCCAATTGTAAGTTTTGTCTTAAAGCGAGATACTAATTCCTACTGAATATTTCTGCAGCTGCACTCAAATTTATACCATTTTGCAAACTATTACATGCTCAGTACTGACTCTGTATACTCATTTTCTTGATATACATTTTACTGTAAATTTGAACGGTCCTGACGTTTTGTATAGGAAAATGAAATGTCAAAACTCGGAAGTAAATGGTAAATTCACTTAACTTGAATTTATTGTAAAGGCATTGCTACGCATACTGATGCTTTGTTGTGAAGTTAATAGAACAGGTCATTTGTGTTTAATGTGCCGTAAAGAATGAGTTTATTAAACGAAAACAGAACTCCCCTTTCTGTCACAGAAACCTCTAAGAACAACTTGCTTTTTTCATCCCCAACTCTAAGGAGGTTTGTTTCAAACAGCTTCAATTATATTAAAACAGTAATGTCTCTGTTCAGTATATCGTGGTAGTCTTCTATGTCAACAGTAAATAAATATGCTAATTTTAACCTTGTAAGGTCTTGCTTTGCCCTTCAGGTTCTTATAAAACTTGCAATGTCTCTTTTGTTGGTGGCATGATGTCCAAAAGCTGAAAGCAATGATTAATAATAAGGTCTACCAATCCAGTCTTGCTACCATGCCTGTCCCAGAACCATCACTTACAAGTTCAGGATTCTGAGACCTTCAGTTCCTAATTACAGTATATATTTTCACATCTCTGTTGCAGCATAGTGACAGATTCCCACAGTGGTCCCTAGTTAAAAGAGTTAAGTTGAGCAGTGTTGTGCCTCGTCCCATATTTATTATTGTGCAATAGATATTATTTTGGAATAAAACTAATCCAAAACAGTATATATTATTTTAGCAAGTACATAAAACAAAAAGTGTTACAGGAAAAGAAAAACTCCATAAGTTGTATTCCAATATTATTTTTATTTTCTGAGGACTACTGCTGGAGAAGACATTGCACTTCCAGCCAGAGAATGTAATCTCCATCCAATTTCCTGTCAATATATTAGTTTGCATAAGTGTATAATATATTTGTCTCACCTTTGATGTGTATGTCATCACATTTTGCTATTTATCCCAGCACAAATACATGTTCTTATACATCTTACAATTAAATGTCATGGTATGACAAGCTGTTAAGATGATCAGCTTCCAGCTAAGATTTGATCGCCATCTTTTGAGCATACTTCCAGCCCAGAGTCACACAAAACCCTCCAGCAGACCATTCTGCTACTTCAAAAGACTGAACTCCCACCAAGCAAAAATGCAACACTATTTGAACTTACTGTAT